AATACATGTTTGTAAAATACCTCGTGTGGCGTATATGTGCTGCGACCTCCGAACCCACGTGCGCGGGACTAAACTTTGCTCACTTCAGAAAATTTCTTGAAGATGCAAACAAAGTGGGTCGGTTTTTATAACGACAAATAATTGAGTCTGTGAACCACTCTACTGGCAGTGGTTTGATGATGCCCTGGGGACAACATTACTCCTTGAATGCAAGCACCCAAGAATCAAATATAGAGCTTAGTATTGAGAACGGTGTTGCACCATTGATTTTGCGAAAACCACGCTGAAAATCCCGAGGAACCCGGGACCTCCTGTTCAGTGAACTACGCATAATAATTGACATTTTCGTAGGGGTGTTTAGCAGTGGGGAGGAAACTGGAGGACCCGGAGAAGATCAATGGCGAGGTTAGAAGGCGACCCTCCTCCTTGTCACGTACAAACGGGGAATCGAAACAACACCACTTGAATCAATAACAGACCTTGTGATCCAATGCGCACGCGCTAACCTTTTCAACTCTCTTGAACCTATTCAGGCCATAATATAATATAATGTAATATATAAGACAATGACGTTACGTCAGAGCATATTTATGAAACAGGAATTAAGTACAATAAAATATAACATCTAACACTATTAATATTCAATTTTCAGATTTAATGAGGGCATTTTTTAAATAAAATTCATTTCTTTACATTCTAATAAATGACTTTTCCTTGTAAAGACGGAAAACCTTGAATACACCTCGTCCAAGCATAATATGACTAAAATATCCTGTAGCAATTCATAAACCATTATTTTAAAGCTGTTCATCCCCAAATGACCGTTTATTAATCCCTTGAAAACTACGATATTGTAGAAGTTTAGTCCCCGAAAAATGTTTCATGTTCGTTTAAAATCTACCAAGATATGATCAATCTAAAATCTTGCAAAAGTTTGTCATTCTCTACATCCAATAAAACAAGCTATATGTCAACATTTGAATTGAATCTAAGATGGGCGATTATCTGCCGTTGATTTTATTTTCTTAATCAAATGTTAAAGGAGCTAAGTTGCTAATATTTGGGACCTAGAAATTGACACAAATGGGTCGCGACGCATAAAATAATGTAATATGAATGTATATAAATTGATTTACATTCAATCGTTTCTGTTTTTACTGTAATTTCTAATCAGTTAGGTTCGGCGAAATACGCCAGAAGTCTCAATCGAATGGCAATCACTATGGGCGATTATCTGCCGTTGATTTTATTTTCTTAATCAAATGTTAAAGGAGCTAAGTCGCTAATATTTGGGACCTAGAAATTGACACAAATGGGTCGCAACGCATAAAATAATGTAATATGAATGTATATAAATTGATTTACATTCAATCGTTTCTGTTTTTACTGTAAGTTCTAATCAGTTAGGTTCGGCGAAATACGCCAGAAGTCTCAATCGGATGGCAATCACTAGTGTCTGGTTATTCCAGTCTACGCCGATAGTATTTTTTTGGGCATGCTCTCCAGATAAGAATATAGCGTCTCCGTTTGACGTGACTTGTGGAATATGCCTAGCCTCGTTTTTCGAGTTTCTAATTACAAATAGCGCTGAAACGCATTATGGTACACGATTCGTGTACCAATTGTAAAATGTTTATTTTGTCTTAAATATTGGATATCAGAAGCCCATCTTTTCACGGTAAGATCACAACATCAATGTTGATTTAAATTGACAAATAATTTGTATTTTCAATGTCGAAGATTTTGGATGATATTGAGTTAGAGACTTAGCTACTTTAAATAACCAATTTGAGTACATATTAGCGTGGATTATATATTGACCAGAATATGCAAATGACACCTGGCCCCAAGTTCACTAAGGATTCTCAAACTTAAGTTTAGAATTTACTCAAAATTGTTGGCCTTATTTTAACTAAAATATAGCCCTTTATAAAACTTTTGTTGTTTTAATGTATCAAATACATCAATAATAAACAATGTGAAAAGTTTTGTGTTTGTGGATCAAAGACATTTCTCATAAAAGGTGGTTGAAAGTAGAGTAAATTCTTAACTTAAGTCTGAGAATGCTTTGTGAACTCATCGTCAGTCCGATGCTTTAAAGGCTCAATACCATTCTTGTTGTAACTGAATAATATGTCCCAATCTTTATTCTGGTCAACAAATTGTACTATTTTACAGTATTCCAATTAATTGATGATACACATTTCATCTTAACACACCTAATTTAAAAAATTGGAAAAATTCAACTAAATGATTTGAAAAGCCTAACGTAAACCTTTTCAAATGTGACTTGGATTTAAAAATATTTTCGAACCCTCTGGACAAGTAAAATAGGATGTAATGGATAATTTACACAACAGGTAGAACACTTAAACATCTAATACTTAGAATAAGGCTAATATTTATTTACTCGAGCTGTCAAGCCAGCAAGAATGTTATTGTCCCTTTTAAGATATATTTATCTGCAGTCTATTTGCATTAAGGATAAAAGAGGTATCGGGTTTAATATGTTGAAATAGAGATATCGAAACCTGCCAGACAAGAAAACACGGGGGATTCCCCTCGACATTTCGTGTATTATTTACCTAAATATGGGGACAATTTCTGTCATTCAGTATTTTCTTTTTAAATGTTTTTTTTTTTTTTTTTTTTTAAAGCAGAACGTAGAACGTTTGCATTTAGTTTTGATTTATGGAAGACCAAACAGCTCTTTATTCTTATTACTTCATTTGTTATCGTATTTCGACATTTTTATACTAAAATTAAAATTTGTATCTTAAAATCAATATTTTGTTTCACAAATCAGACGTTTGTTATATCAGATTTGTAAATTGTATTTTTGTTTAATTAATTTGTATTTGAATATAAAGATAAAATTTATTTTAAAAAATCAAAAAATGGCCTACATTAACGAAAAACAAAGCTCGAACAACAAATTTTCAAATACAAATCTCCAAATTCAAATCTTGCAAAACATTATTCCAAAAACATTTCTCGAAATTCATCGAATCGGAACATTATAACGACCAGGCTAGCGATCCAGCGTCTTACCCACTTAGCCACGTGATCCCCTAGTTTCGATAAGGAAGGATGGCAACAGGATGTCTAATGACTATTATAAAATATTTGTAAAGTTTCGACAAGGAAGAATGACAACAGATGTTTAATTTGCTGTGATGGAAATTTTGCACAGACAGCTGCGCTACAGTTTACTCTTACATCGAATTCCAACTGTCAAGGTTTCCTTTACGTGCACGCCAATTTGTACATAGCACACTGTATGGCGTATGCCCGCCTTCATTAGCCCAGTATAGGAGCAGAACAGTAGGACGTTAAACCCCATTTCATTTCATTAAGATACTGTGTCCAATGGTACCGTTAAGTACCATTTCTGTTTAATTTCACTGGCGTTACTTCTGGTAACAACATAGCAGGCTAATCAGGACAGCTCGGGTTTGGCAACAGGTAAATGAAATCGCCTTAAATGACTTTTATACCCTTATCTATCAAGCCATATATGGGATGGGGGTTGGATGGTCGAGTGGTTAGCAAGTGCGCGCTGTATCATAAGGTCTGTCATTGAGTCAACTGGCGTGGTTTCGAATCCCCGGTTGTACGTGACAAGGAGTAGGGTCGCCTGTCTAACCTCGTGGGTTTTCTCCGGGTCCTCCGGTTTCCTCCCACTGCTAAAACCCCTACGCGCAAGCGAATTATTGAAATAAAATTAAACCATATGTTAGTCCCGAAATGACCTAGTTTGTGTCGAGTGGACGTTAAACCCATTTCTCTCTCCCTCTCTCTCTCTCTCTCTCTCATATATGGGATAATACATTTATCTACCAAGCCATATATGGGATATCTTTAACTTCAAATGACTAGTACTCTAGATGATTTCCGGCTGTGACGTCTTTTCGTTTAGCAGTGATTTAATAAATATTTTCCGCTTTCTAGGAATGCGGAAAATATTTATTAGGGTATGTTGAATCAGTATCGGGCCGTCAAATCTCCATACCTACAACAGGAATGCAGTAGACATTTTTTTATGTGAAGAACCATTGATATGATCCCCCGATTTCGTGGAAATTATTAGACGATAGCAAGAAACCGGTAATATAGTGCATAAGTTGATGGTTTATCAACATGACTATATAACAAAATGGATGGATTGGGGTTTAACCTCCTATTTCTCTGCACCATTCTTTGTGAACTTAATAAGGTACTATCGGTAAAATCTCGGTAGAATAGTCTATGGACCTAAACATCACAGGGATTTGAAAATATCACAGATTACTCTATGGACCTAAACATCACAGGGATTTGAATACATCACATTGGAGAAGGAGTATATTGTTAACTGCCATCATCCGTCATTGATATTTACTGAAAGCAACTCGTTAACTTGAATATTCAACTTATATATTTAACCTTATTTAACATGGATATTAAACATTATTCAACTTGGAGATTTAACAGTATTCAACTTGGAGATTCGACAATGTTCAACTTGGATATTAAACAGTATTCAACTTCGATATTTAACTTGGAGATTTAACAATATTCAACTTGGAAATTTAACAATATTCAACTTGGATATTAAACAGTATTCAACTTCGATATTTAACTTGGATATTAAACAGTATTCAACTTGGAGATTTTAAGTGAATATTTAAAGTCATTTAATGTGGATATTTAACAATATTCAACTTAGATATTTAACATTATTCAACTTGGATATTTAAATTGGATACGTATTAACGATATTTAACTTGGATATTTCACACCATTCAACTTGGATATTTAACACCATTCAATTTGGATATTTAATGCAATTTCACTTAGATAATTATCTCCATTGAACTTGGATAGTTAACTTGGATATTTAATGTCAAGTAACTTGGATATTTAAAACCGTTTAATTTAACACCGTTTAACTTGGATATATAACCACCATTGAACCTGGACATGTAACACAATTTAACTTGGTTATTTAATGTGGATATTTAACAATATTTCCCTCATTTTATTTCCAATAATTTCTTCCATTATCGAAGAAATTTAGATTTTGGCATGGATGCGTTGACGTCATATTATTAAGTTGACAGCAAAATAGATCGTTCTGAAACTCGACCCGGGTAACTTTCTGGACTAATGAAAACGACTGCGATCATGAATTCGACATCAATGACAAATATAAGCTACACTGAAGAAGAAATTAACAGCTATCTGGATGAATTGTGCCATGAAGCCAGACTTAGATTCATGCCTGCTATAATATTTGTTGGTATTTTAGGATTGATTGGTTTAGTAGGTAACACACTAGTTTTAATCGTATATTATAAATCGTTTAAACCTAAAGCGACTCGGTCGTTTATTCTTTGTGTAACGGTTTTCGATTTGACCACCAATGTCGTCGTTATTCCCAATCAAATAATAGAGTACGGCTTCCAATACAGGTATCCTACAAATGGACTGTGTGTTTTTAATAATTTTATGAGGTATACAATGGCCTATGGTTCCACGTTATCGCTCGCTTTGATATGTTTTCAACGTTATAACAAAATCTGTCGACCCTTGAAACGACAAATAGAAGAAAGAACGGCTTGTAAATTGGTTATCGCGTGTATCGCCTTGTCCAACATCTTAGGCATTCCAACGTTCTTTCTCTTTAAAATGAATGTTATTGAAACGGATCGTGTCGGCATTCTGGGTCGAGTTTGTGAACCTAGTGACGTGTTGAAAGACTCGATATTTCCCTTTATTCATTCACTTCTCCAATTAATCACGTGCATCTTGTTTGAAACCTTCTTCATTGTTTTATATAGTTTAATAGGATTCGCTATCTACAAACAAAGAAAATTTAGGAACGAATTGCAATTATACGGGGCACTCGATAGGCCGAAATGCATGACTCGGGAAACAGGTAGACAGAAAGTGACGAAGAGGCATAAAACTACATTCATGATGGTGATCATAACAGCAACGTATGTGTTGTGTTTTTTACCAGTTATAATTCTAAATACAGTGGACAGCGTTCTACAGTTTAGAAAGAACCTGACGGGCGCTAAGTTCATCTCTTATATTATAATCGTTAACGTATTTTATATCAATGCCGCGGTTAATCCAATCGTCTTTAGCTTCATGGACGAGCGATTCCGTAATGGCTTGATGAAATTGTTCAAGATAAAAGCAAAGCACAAAATTTAATAGTAGAGGATGTGCTAGGATTCCGTAATAAGCCCGGGTAGGTGGGGTTCTGTCCCTTCTCTCTCGGGCGGTTGGATGGCCGAATGGTTAGCACGTGCGCGCGCTGTATCATGCGGTCTGTCATTGAGTCAACTGCCTCTCCTACGAATATGATGAACAGATATCGTTCCACACACTGTATATACAATAGGCTGTAATAAACACCAGCTTTAGTCTAAACAAATTCATTATTATATTATATTATATTATATTATATTATATTATATTATATTATATTATATTATATTCCCAAAATGGCGTCCAATGAGTTATAACAGTCCCCTATATTTCCTGTTTTAGACATAATATTATCCTGATAATTTTACTATATTATTTGATAGTATCGAGATTCAGTTACGTTTGTTATATTTTAATAACTCGAGTGTACTTTATGTAATAACTCTAGGGTACTTTATGTATAAGGCTAACGTACTTTATGTAACAAGGATAACGTACTTTATCTAATTAAAATAAATCGAACGTACTTTATGTCATAAGAAATGCAATGAAATGGGGTTTAACGTCCTACTGTTCTGCTCCTAACCTGGGCTAATGAAGAAGGGCATACGCCATTCAGTGTGTTATGAGGGACATTAATTCCAACTGCCAAGGGATCTTTTACGTGCACGCCAATGTGTACACGGGACCTCGGTTTTTCGTCCCATCCGCACGATTATACAGCTGTCCTTGTCAGGTCCTCCGTCCTGTATCACTAATAAGGGGAAACCACGCCGGAAAATCTGGACGAACTTTCTCGGCCAAAGCAGTTTATGTCAAGGCTAGCTGGGCTGATGACGACGGGTCCATATATAAAGACCGTCTTCGTTAATCCAATCGGTGAAGAAAGGTAAGGCATTAAACATAAAGTCGGTTAGCTTTATTACATGTAGTATGTTAGCCTTATTGCATCAAGTACGTTAACTTTATTACATAAAGTATATTCGAGTTAGCCTTACTATATATAGTACGTTAGCCTTACTATACATCGAACGTAACTAGCTGTTAGTCATATTACATGTTGTACGTTAGTCGTATTACATATTGTACGTTAGTCGTATTACATATACATGTAGTACGTTAGCCTTATTGCATAAAGTACGTTAGCCGTATTACATATTGTACGTTAGCCTTATTACATGTTGTACGTTGGTCTTATTACATATTGTACGTTAGCCTTATTACATGTTGTACGTTGGTCTTATTACATATTGTACGTTAGCCTTATTACATGTTGTACATTAACCTTATTACATATAGTACGTTAGCCTTATTACATGGGGTACGTTATCCTTATTACATGTTGGGCGTTATCCTTATTACATATTGTACGTTAGCCTTATTATTATAGTACGTTAGCTTTATTACATATCGAACGTTAGCCTTAGTACATGTTGTACGAGCGTACGTTAGCCTTATTACATGTTGTACTTTAGCCTTATTGCATAAAGTACGTTAGCCGTATTACATATTGTCCGTTAGCCTTGATACATGTTGTACGTTGGCCTTATTACATATTGTACGTTAGCCTTATTATTATAGTACCTTAGTCTTATTACATATAGTACTTTAGCCTTATTGCATGTTGTACGTTAGCTTTATTTCATATAGTACGTTAGCCTTATTGCATGTTGTACTCGGTTCAGGGTGGACCAATTTGACTGAAATTCCCTTTACGTCATCTAGTTTATAACTATTATAGTGAGAACTACCAGGTCTTTATCGAATCTCCCATAACGTATCTTTGATATAAGGTACGTTCGAGTTATTGCATAAAGCTTGTGTATACGGTGGCTGATAAGAGACATGAAAAATAGTATAATTTGTTTTTTATAATTTTCACCCAAGTCAATTTTAATATAATTTGTTTTTTATAATTTTCACCCAAGTCAATTTTAATATAATTTGATTTTTATAATTTTTACGGAAGCGTATAGGGGTCATGCAAAATTTTGTAGAAGGTCTCGAGATCCTGCGATCCTGTGATACTTTCTCGAAATCCCGTGATCACCTTGTAATTTTCTCGAAATCTCAATTTAATGTTCTCGAAAAAAACCCTGATAATTTTCCTGGGATATTGACATCCTGTGTAAATTTTCTCGAGAATTCGAGTTAATTTTCTCGAGATATTGACATCCTATGTAAATTTTCTCGAGATATTGACATCCTTTGTAAATTTTCTCGAGATCCCGAGTTAATATGAAACCTTATATGATAGTGTCTCCGCGTTGTGAAGCAACCATTGTCCCAATACTTCGCACCAAATTTGATAAAAAAAAATACTCTAACATTTGTTACAAAGGAAAATTGCTAATTAATGAAAGAATAAACGGACAATCAATAGGGTACCCATGCTTTACACTAAATTTGAAATATGGTTAAAATCGATCGGGTTCTTCGTCTTATGGCCCCAATACTTCACACCAAATATGAAATTCAAAACCCTACCACGTTAGCTTTAATGTGTAAAGCTTCGAATTACAGACTTGCTTGTTAAATTATTTCAATTTAAATGAGTAGGGAACGTTTAATTGAAAATGTCATATTTTGCATGGTTTTCGGACCATATTTTGTTTTAGAATAAAGCTAGACAGAGCGTTTATTGTCTTGTGGCACAAATGCTTCGGAGCAGATTTTTAAATAAAAAATCTTGAAAAAGTCTGGGCTCTAACGCGTTCACAAGGTTTACCGGAAAATAGGAATAACGCCATAACAAAACTTCAGGGAGCGCCGCAAATCAATAAGGTTCATTGTTCCGCCGAAAATAAATAGGGTTCCTCTGCTTGTGACACTAATGATTCAAAAGAAATTTTAACGATAGTCACGCAAAGTGTGGAGATACGCCCACGCAGCATCTATGCATCAACAGTAGATTATTCGAAATGAAAACTTGGTTGATAAATAAATTGTATAAGGGTCTAGCATTCATCAAGAAATCTAATCTCTATCGTGTTCGCGTGCTTGTTATCTCTCTGGGACAGAAATCTTATATTGCTGTAAATTAACAGGGGTTATCCTTGTCGCGGAACACTGAATATCGAAAATCTGTTAAAGCACAAAATTTGAAACAAAACCGTTAAAAACTGTAGGCTCTATCGTGCTATTAAGGTTTTCGGGAAAGTGTGTGTGTGTGAGGGGGGGGGGTAAACTCCGAAACAAGATCCCGAGAAGATTAACTCGAATTCTCGAGATCGTTAACGCAGGATGGGAGATTCTCGAGAAATTTATTAGGGGATTTCGAGAACATTAAAGTATCACAGGATCGCAGGATCTCGAGGTCTTCTACAAAATTTTGCATGACCCCTATACGCTTCCGTAAATTTTCACCCAAGTCAATTTTAATTTTCACCCAAGTCAATTTTAATTACCACCCAAGTCAATTTTAATATAATTTGTTTTTTTATAATTTCCACCCAAGTCAATTTTAATTTTCACCCAAGTCATTTGTAATATAATTTCAATTAATTTCCACCCAGCGCGTGACGTCATCTCCATTAGCCTCGTTTCCAATGTAATGTATTATGTTTTATCTTATTATATATGGTTCTCATACTGTAATTAACAGATTGCAATGTATTATGTTTTACCTTATATCAAATAGATATTTTTTATACGCCCACATTTTCATATGGACTTATATTGTCGTCACCCCTGTCCGTCCGGACGTCCATCCATAATGTGTTTGTGGACACTATACAGGTCACAATTCTTATCCGATTTTGACGAGACTTTGAAATATAGGTTTATCTCCAAAATATCTAGGTTCTTTTCGATATTGACATGTATCGGATTGAAACTTCATGAATTATGGCCTCTGATTGTACGAAAAGTCATTTTTTTTAGCATGTTGACACTCTAGAGGTCACAATTATCATCTGGTTTCTTTCCATATTCGCGCTTATCGGATCTTAATTTTCTGAATTACGACCCTTGATTGTACGAAAAATCTCGTTTTTAGCTTGTGGTCCCTCTAGAGGTCACAATTTGTATCCGATTAAAAAAAAAAACGTTTGAATATATCACCGTTACGCCCTAAGGATGATTGAGTTCGAATTTTCTGAAAATCTGATCGAAACTGCCGGACAAAATGATCGCCCCTCGTACGCAAACTTTGAGAGAGAGAGAGAGAGAGAGAGAGAGAGGGAGAGGGGGTTTAACGTTCACTAGACACAAACTAGGTCATTTCGGGACTAACATATGATTTAATTTTATTTCAATAATTCGCTTGCGCGTAGGGGTCTTTAGCAGTGAGAGGAAACCGGAGGACCCGGAGAAACCCCACGAGGTTGGACGCAAACTTTGATGAAATTTAAAATATATATCCCAAATATCTCAGTCCATGTCGATATTCGCGCATTTCAGACCATAACTTCATGGATTATGGCCCCTGATTGTATGAAAAATAGCTTTTTTTATTGCTTGTTTTCAATCCATCTCTTGCAAAATATGGGCGTATCTTGCCTGGTAACCGCTGGTTCTCATACTGTAATTAACAGATTGCAATGTATTATGTTTTACCTTATATTAAAGAGATATTTTCTCATTCTGTAATTACATGTATCAGATTGTAATAGATTATGATTTACCTTATATCAAATATTTATTTTTCTCATGCTTTTATTAACAGCTCTTGTTTAAATTATATATGTCACCAGAAAAGCCATTACTAGTGTAATAAAGATTTTTGATATTATAACATGATGACTTTTTAGGTGAACACAAGCAGGCCTGTCAACGTATCAGAGCCAGAAATGAGGCCTGTAATTACATTTGATTTATACTTTATGGACTGAAATTATCACAAGATCTCCAAATCAAAGGGAAGAAATCTTGACTTTCATTAAATGTTCAGAATTGAAAAGGGGGGGGGCGAATAGTTAACGTGTGTGCATTGCATCATAATTCAAGTGGCGTGGTTTCGATTTCCCGCTCGTCCGTGGCAAGGAGTAGAGTTGTTCGTCCAGTACTCCAGTTTCCTTCCATTACTAAAGACCACTACACACAAACTGACTATTGAAATCAATGAGTTATAGTCCTGTAATGACCTAATTTGTG